GGCAGTTATAGTGATTCACTTGTACACCTTTTTCATACCTGCTGAAGTTACTAGTCAAGATGAAATCTCATTAAAATGATATGTGACAACTGTAGATTTCGTTGGTCTGCTTTAATGGAAGCTTTATTTAGTATTGTCATGTTCACTTTTCTTTTAGTTGTGTCCCACCAGGTGTCTTCTTCTTACTCTCTTTCTGAAGATATTTTTTTGTCTGTTGCTTTGAACCTTATTGTATAATACTCCTTTTGATCACTTTTTCAGCCTGTTGTTTTATTATCTTCTCTTGTTGAAGCTAATTTGAAATTAAGTACATGTTATTTATTTCTCTGTAATAAGTACTTTTGAAATAACATTGTCTTTTATTTTTTTGAATTATATATTATTGAGTATTCATGAATAAAGAGACTAGGATTTGAGAAATACATTGCCAGTCACTTTGTGTTAATAAAAATCTTTGTTTCAAAGAAGAGTGATAGTTCAAGCTTTTAAGTAGTTAAGTGCTCTGAATAGGAGAAAAGGAATCACAGATTTATGCTGTTCCAAAAATGTTTTCTTTCTGTGCTATCATTCTGGGTTGGATTTATATCATATAATATCTAGGTTAATTGCCCAAATTTCTGAGGTTTGCTCTTTAAGCCTCCCAAATAGCCTTTTAACAGCTTAAAGATATGTGTTTACATTTTAACAGTTTAAAAATGTATTGCATGATTACTTGCTTTCTTAAACAAAGCATGATGAGCATAATTGATATTTTCTTGATGTTTTAGGCCATAATTTTTGTATTATTTCTATTTTATATGGTGATACCTTCAAAGTCAGAGTGCTAGGATGTATACTTTTATTTAAATAAGTTTAGAGAAAATGCATTTAAATAGTTTTTTTTAATAGACATTATTTTTTAGAGCAGTTTCAGTTCACAGCAAAATTAGATGAAAGGTAGAGTCATTTTTTTTAATATCCCATGTCCCCACACATATATTATTTACATTCCCTACCAGAAGGGTACATATTTTATAATTGGTATACGTACATTGACATGTCATTGTCACAGTTTACTTTCGGGTTCATTCTTGGTGTTGTGTATTCTGTGGTTTTAGACAAATTTCTGATAACATGTATCACCATTATAGTATCATGCAGAATAGTTTCACTTCCCCCACGCTCCATCTAATTTGCCCTTTCTCCTTCCAACCCCGGGTAACCACTGGTCTTTTTACTGTTTCCACAGTTTTTCCTGTTTCAGATTCCATATAGTTGGAATCATACAGTATGTAGCCTTTCATACTGGGATAGTTCACACAGTAATATGCCTTTAAGATTCCTTTATGTTTTTCATGGCTTGATAGCTCATTTCTTTTTAGTGCTGAATAATACTGCATTGTCTGGAAGTACTGTAGATTAATTAATCACCTCCTGAAGGACATCTTCATTGTTTCCAAGTTTTGAAATGCTGCTATAAACGTTTGTGTGCGGGTTTTTATGTGGACATAAATTTCCTACTCTTTTGGGTAAATACAAAGGATCTTAATGCTGGATTGTATGGTAAGAGTACCATTTGTTGAAAATACTTATATTTGCTCAATTTATTGTCCTTGCTCCTTTATCAAACACCAGTTGACTATATTTTTATATGGACTTGTTTCTGGGCCATCTATTCTGCCAATTGATCTGTCTATTCTTTTGCAAACACCATGCTGTCTTGATTACTGTAGCTGTACAGTAAGTCTTAAAGTGGTGTATATTTTAATTTATGTGGTGTTAAACTTCAATCTTGCTTACTTTTGTTATACCGAAACATAGATGCTCAGCTGATTTTTGGGAATGGCATAAAAGTAATTTAAGGTAGGAAAGGATAGTTTTGTAAAGAAACTGTATGAGAATAACTAGATGTCAATGTTGAAAAAATCAGCCTAAATCCTTGCCCCACACCAAAATTAAATGAAAAAAAATTACTTCAAATAAATTGTCGATTTAAATGTAAGAATCAAAACTATACAATTTCCTGATAAAAAAGTGGGAGAAGAAAGGTTGTGACCTTAGCATAGTCAAAGATTTTCTAGATAGGACAAAAAAAGCATTAATAATAAAATTTAAAAACCTTGATAAATTGGGGTTCTTTCAAAGAACTGAAGTTTATATTTTGATGAAAGCTTAATTTATCAGGGTGGGAGAGAGTATTTGTAACATTTATATATATATGAATATATAAGGAATTCTTACAACTTTATAATTAGACTAAGAGTAGGACTTAGTATTTGAAGAGACATTTAACAAAAAGATGTATGAATGACCGGTAACACATAAAATGATGTTCAAAAATATTAATTACCAGTAAGATTGAAATTTAACCACAATAAACTAACACTTCATGGCCACTAGCATGGCTGAAATTTAAAACTGACTATACTAATTATTGAACAGGCCTGAAGCAATGGGAACTCTCAAACTTTGCTGGTTGAAACGTAAAATGGCACAGCCCTTGGGAGAATATTTACCCAAGAGAAATGAAAACATATGTCCACATGAAGACTTGTACAAGAATGTTCATAACAGTTTTATTCACAATATCCCCAAACTGGAAACTATACGAAAAGGTCCTTAAATAGGTGAATGGATAAGTATATTGTGGTATACTATTTATAATAAATAATGAAAGGTTATCAATGCATGCAACAACATGAATGAATCGTGAAAACTTTATGCTGAGGCAGAAGATAAAGACACAAGGGTCCATACTGTGTGAACCCATTCGTGTGAAAGTCTATTAAGGAAATCAAATTTTATATAGAGGGACAAAAAGCAGATAAGTGGTTTGATGCCAGGGGAGCGGGAGATAACAGCCAGGGGGCATAAGGGAGCCTTTTGGAGAGTTGGAAATCCTTCTTGATCTTGGTGGTACTTAGGATTGCGTATTGTAAAAGTTCCTCAAAGTGTACCCTTGTAATGGGTGTATTTTATTACAGGTTAATTATAGTTACATGGAAGAAGTTTCTTTTTTAGTGCTTATAAAATCTGACTCTACTTCAGAATTATCTGCTAAACTTTTTAAAATGTCCATTCTTCTACTCCATGTCATACCCAAAGAATCAATGTCTGGCATAGACCTGCTTATTTGAGGTTTTTAAAAGATTCAGGGGTTTATTCTGATTCTCAGGACATCAGAAATATTTTTTTGGCATAGCTTTTTAAATATTTCTAGGATCCCATACAATGTAATTTTAGTAATAAAAGGCATTACTGATTTTTTTTCATGTTATTCACACTCTCATTAATGGCTTTGAAAAGAACTTTTTAAGTGTGTTTTACTTATTTTGAAAGTTTTCTGTTCTCAACAGCGTATGTGCTTACATTGTTATGTAGAAGAAAAACAATTCCTATTATACCCTAATGTTCTGAGTATAAGAAATGGGAAATTTATTTATTTTTTTTCCTGTAAAGTCATTTTATTTTCTGTTACATAAACATATTTCTTAAAATTTAAATGTCCTGTGTAGACCTCCAGTCTTATATTCCCCTTATCACTACTGTTTGATGCATGTTCTTTTAGATAGTTTCCTATGCTTATAGAAAAAAAGACATATATCTGGTATTACATTTTCCCAAATATTCATTTATGAATTTAAATAGTATGTGTTGAGCACCTGCTCTGTGGCAACCATTATACGAGGTCCTTAGGCGACTGAGTCAAAGAGACTGCTAGCCTCCTGTGACTTGTTATTTAATGGCGGGAATATTGATATTGATTAAATAATAACACGAACATTTAAAAACTGTAGCAGTTGTTACAGAAGACAATTATAGAATATTATGAGTTTACATAGTAAAAATCAAAACCTTTTCTGAAGCTCTAACTCTAGTTTAGATCTCTGCTTTGAAGTTTGTCTTTTCAAAAGCATTTAGTGTTACTTGGTTAGTATGATTATTCATTTGTATAAAACATCTTTCACAGGAACATCCTTTTATTAATGTATTATTCTTTCCTTTTATTGTTAGTCAGCATTTTTATGTTAATTTAAATTACTGAAAAATCTTAAGCATTTAACTTCAGTGACAAAAAAATGAAAAAATGCACTCAGCAAATATTTATAAATAACTCCTTCAGTCTAAGTCTGTGGTTCTTACTCAGTTATGTGCTATATATCATTTTGTTACTGAAACAGTAATAGCTTGAAAATGATGATTTGTTCTAGCAGCATATTTTTGGAGGGGTTATTAATGTTGGTATGTGTCAAACACAAGTATTTTTTTAAGTATATTACACAAAATACTAATTGTGTTTAAAGCTACTGAAAAGTTTGTGGGATAGAAATTTTGTGCTCATATAAGTTTAGGAAATGCAGGTTTAAATAAAGTTAAACATTTTTAGGGTTTAATATTTATGGTTATCAAGGGATAGTGTTTTTTTAGAATCTTTAATATATTCTGAATTTTTAAAGATTTTATTTATTTGTTTTTAGAGAGAGGGAAGGAAGGGAGAGAGAGAAAAGGAACATGGATGTGTGAGAGAAACATTGATCCATTGCCTCTTGAACACCCCTCAACTGGGGGCTGGGCCCGCAACCCAGTCATGTGCCCTGACCAGGAATCAAACTGGTGACCTTTGCTTTGTGGGATGACACTCAAGCAGCTGAGCCAGGACGGTCAGGGCTATGATCTGAATCTTTAAGACAGAGCTATAGCACACAGTGACACTATTGGACTGTGGCACCATTTCCCCTTTGCCTCATATTTCTGTGAATGGATATCTAAGGAGATAAATGATTTCTCAGTGGCATCTCAAGAGACATAGTAGCATATTTTAAAGAAGCATGATAATTTTAACATAAAAAATTATTGTTTAACTAGCATGATCTTGTTGCTTATAAGCACTAGATCTGTATTTTTGTATTTACATTCTGAACTTTGGGGAATTAATTGATACATAACTAAAGAATCAGTTCTCTATTTTTGCATTCTTAACTGGAGGAGGGAAGTGAACTTTTGTTTTTCTTATATTTCAGAACAAAGTAGAAGAGATGACTTAGAAGCCTTAGGTCATATGTTCATGTATTTTCTTAGAGGCAGTCTTCCTTGGCAAGGTTTAAAGGTAATCGTTTTTGTATTTCCTTATTGAATTTCATAAATTGTTAATGTATTATGATCCTGTCTTCCAAGTATTTAATATTAAAATTACCACTTTCATCAGTTTTTTTTTCTTCCTATTTTAGGCTGATACATTAAAAGAGCGGTATCAGAAAATTGGAGATACAAAACGAGCTACACCAATAGAAGTGTTATGTGAGAATTTTCCAGGTAATGAATAATGCCACACTGATACATATGCTCATACACAGAAGACCAGAAATGTTAGTCATTGCTATAGTCTATAAATACTTTTTTCATGTTTTTAAAAAATTGAGCTCCAAATATGATTTAAAAAATGTAAGCATTTGATGCACAGGCCACAGGGACAATTTGTATATTTGCTTTGCTGAGATGGTATTAGTAGAAGGGAATCCCATCTCTTGTTAGTATTGACAAGTATTAGCTGAAGTTACATTTTCTTCATTGGTGTACTTTTAATAAGTTATATTTGCCAGAAAAATACCAACTGTAAGGTTCTGGTGTATAATGTTAGTCATTTGAGTCTTGTTGTCAAACTCAAAAAAAAGTAGGTATGTGATGTATGATTTAGTCTAGTTTTCACAGTTTAGTAAAATATTACTACCCTTATTATGTTTAGGCTAATTTTATATTGGGGAGCTTTATGAAAATAGTTTTGTTTTCACATAGATTTTTGGTCACTCAAACCAACAGAAACTTACTTAAGATTTTAAATCAACTAAGCAGAATAAAAAATAAGAAAAATGTGTTGCTAATGTATTAAGATACCTGATTTTAATGTGATTTGTGTAAAAGAGAACCAACTTGAAGGTACAAGACTGAATTTATATCTCACTTTGATATTCACAGGCTCTCCTATACAGTGCTGGCATTACTATTGTAATATCAGCAGTATAATCTCTGGTAGCTATTTCTCAAGTTTGCTGTATTATTCATTGTCAGCAAGCTTTGTTTTCTTTCTTAGTCTAGAACCGGCAGTTTAAGTTTAGGCAGATTGACTCCCTGTGCAAATTTCTGCAGGAAAAATGGTGGTGCCTAAGCAAATTAACCAGATAATTTGCTAGAAAGTGGAGTAGTGAGATTCAACATGTGAGGCAGGTCGCTGGGTGCTGGTTTTCACTGCCCATTATGCTGTGTGTGATCCTGTTCTTATTGGTTACTATGAGTGAACTGGTTCAGAAAAGCACCTGGATGTAACCTACCATTTCTTACTACAGTGATATTTTTGTGCTGTCATGGTGAAACACTGTTTTTGCTCACCATGTTGCCTATTGATTTTTGTGACGTTTTTTATTCTGAAAGTATGTATGATCTTTGAAAATATATAATGCATTTGGAAATTTTAATGGCATGCATGATTATTAATTATATGACCAGGAATTAAAAGAAGAAATAAACCGAGCTTCTATGTTATATTTCTGAGATTGGTTTTAGATTTATTTTGCTAGGTCAGTTGGTTCAAATGCTGCACATAGCCACAGTTGGGAATTTGAATCCTCTGTTGGTCAGTTAGTTTATATCACTGAATCCATAGGACCAGCAAGCTAGTGATTCAATTCCTACCAATATTTTAAATAGTTTAAAAAATTTATGAGCTGAGTATGGTGCCCTGTGATTAGATAATCATGCATTAAGTTGTTATTTCAACCTCTAATACTTGTTAAAGTTTGTAATGTAAAAAATTGTAAAATAAAATTTTAACATTTCTTACTGAAGTGAAGCAAAAATAATGTCTGTTAAACTCCTTATTTTCCTTTTGTTCCTGTTTCCTTTTCTACCTTCTTTTCCTTTTATTTAAAAAAATTCATTGCAATTATATTTACAAAATTTTAAATTGTAATAGAATTTTTCTTTTTTCTATTTTTATAATACTAGGATCATTTAGACATTTAAATAATTTTCTTACTGATGAGCATATAGAAAAGTATAATCAGAGTGATTTTTATTTTCTTTCTAGAAGAAATGGCAACGTATCTTCGTTATGTAAGAAGATTAGATTTTTTTGAAAAACCAGACTATGACTACCTAAGAAAGCTTTTTACTGACTTGTTTGATCGAAAAGGATACATGTTTGATTATGAATATGACTGGATTGGTAAACAGTTGGTGAGTACTCTGTGGTATATAATAAAAGATTTTACTGTTTCTTTTCCACAGTATAGATTCTTCAACTGAAAATAGTTGAGTACAAATATTTTTCAGAAAGGGTTCATTTAATTTTCTTTTTAGGAATAGTTCAGGTAAAACACTACACTGCTATTTTTTGAAGTTTATAAAAACCCTACATTTAGACTCTGCTTTTTAGAGTGTTAAGTTATTTTGACCTTTTCATTTCTGATTTAATTCTTAAGGTCGAATATACTTTTTTTTTGGTATTCTAGTGATTAAGAGATCAGCTAGTTTTGTTTTATGTTTAATTTAGTCATCTTTCAAAACATTTGTAATTTAAAAATATTTTAATTATTCTAGCAGTTTTAAGGTGTCTTTTGGAATAGATTGATACTTGGAACATGTTTAGGTTTTTAAAACTGTACCTACATTTTCATAACTTAAAAAAATATTTTTATTATAACTGCAGGATTAGTGTTCATCACTTAAAGAGACAAATCATTATATTTTTTCTTTGAAGAGATGACTTATAAAACATCAATTATTCTCAGTAGTCTTTTTTAAATAAGTAACAATGTCTTGCAGAATTTTTCTTATTTGTGTGTCACTGTTAACAAATTTTTACCTGTGCATAGAGCTACTGAACCCTCAGATTCCAGTATGTTTGAACAATTGACTTAAAGCAATTAATCTTTTTCATAAATCTAAAATGATTTGAATAAATATGGTGGTATTTATGAAGCAAATAAACTGATTCAAGTAATTTTGAATTGTATTTGAAAATTAAAAAATTTATAAGCCTCTTCTGAGTGACAGTAGGCAATTTTATTAGCTTATTTAAAAAATTATTCCCTTAATATTTAAAAATAATTCATTCTGTTTATACATTAGCTTTAAAAATGAGGAACATGAACAGATACACTTTTCTTTTTTGACTTGAAAAAGTAACTTAAAAGTAATGACAGCATTATAAGGTCTTAGATATAAAAGTAAATACTTGATGAAGCATTTAAATACAGGGTGCAGCAGAAGTAAGGCCTGCTTGAGTGTGGTTGGTAGGATAGTAATATGGATGTAATTATTTATAGTTTTTATTTGAAATTTTACCTAAAATGTCATATGATGTGCTTGAGTGTAATATTCTTATGTTACAGAATTACTAGCTTATGATTTTGTAATAAAAAGGGGTGTTTTTTGTGCCAGACCCCATATTTTGAAAATAGTTTAAAGAGTAGCTATGGTCCCTTTGCTCTAACCTGTCAGCTTTCATATTTTGAGAATGATTTTTTAAGGTCTTACTTTATTTCAGTCTTTTATTTTGTCCTTGATTCTTTTAAATAGGTAAACGTTATTAAGTAAGATTTCTGAAATAGGTTGCATTGATGCTAACTGTTGTTGTATTATAGCCTACTCCAGTAGGGGCAGTTCAGCAAGATCCTGCTCTGTCATCAAACAGAGAAGCACATCAACACAGAGATAAGATGCAACAATCTAAAAACCAGGTTTGCTGCCCTTTTAGATAAGAAATGTCTTAGTCTTCTTCTGTATTTCCTGCTGATGGTATATAAATGTATTTGATGTTTTATGATGCCCAGATGACTGCATTATATGTGTATTTGCATGTGTGTGTGAGTGTATACATGCACATCTATATTCGTAGTAAAAGCATAAAATAGATGTTTTCCCTCAATAGATAAAGCAGATTATGTACTCACAGGCTAACAATTGAAAATACTTATCTCCCCATTATGTTCAGTAATTCATTTAATCATAAATTTATAATTTAATGGTATAAATTTGTATAATTTTGAGCAACATTTGACATTCTATTAGAAGTATTTGAATACCCTGTTGGAATAAATTCTAATAGCAGTTGCTCTTTTGAACTATAGTCTAGTTTAATACATTATTTACTGAATTTCTGGTATTGGAAAGCTACTATTCTCCATGTTGCAGAAATGCAGAAGTAAAAAAAACAATATAAACTATAAGAAATAATTTTGTAATGAGTGGCTAGGAGCTCCCTCAATCTCTCCTATCATTCATACTTGGATATGGTTTAACCCTGGGGAAATTACTTATCTCTCAAACCCTAAATTCTCTCTTTTACAACATAGAAATAGTGCATACTAATTCCTAGCATATAGTAAGCCTTCAATAAATCTCAACTCATGGCTAGTATTATTGTGATCATGATTATTGTAATAAATTCACAGATAACTACATTACAAAGCAGAATTAGTTTCTGTTGCATGAAGCATATTGATAAAATGCCATGGACGATTATTGGAATATGTGGGAACTGTAAAGATTTTCCATGGAGAAGGTGATTTTTGAAATGAGCCTGAAGAATGAATGAAATTTTTGAAGGCAAATTAAGGAATAAGGGATTTTTAAGGAAAGTGAACAATGTAAAACATGAAGCAGAAGTTTAAAAATACAGAATTTGACAAATAGCAAGCAGTTCAATTTACTTGGAACAGAGAGTAGATTCAAGACAGCACATAGAATTTTTACTGAGAGTGAAGAGTTTGTATTTCCTGGGTAAGATAATTGAGGGCTGTTAAAATTTTTGAGCAGTGTTTTCACTTTACTCTCTTTTTTTTTTTTGTAAAAAGAAGCTTTGTTGAAGCCATCTTTGACATAAAAAAATTTGCTATTACCATGAGTTAAGAGTGTCTTTGGTATTTTTTATTGTAACCATTTTTAGAGAAGGATAGTACACTATCCTTTTTTACTTTTACATCTTTCATCCTATCAGAGTTTGAATAAGGATTAAACAAGAGATCAAAAATCAAAGGAAAGAACATAATTCATTAAAAATGATAGCAAAATAAAATGCTACATTTCAGGGATGTTTAACAGTATTCTTTAAAGTATAGCCAATTTAAAAAGTTTAGTTTTAGAATTTTGCCTTAGGAAAATTGGGACAGTAAAGGGTCTTGTATGTGCATGGATTCAAAATATAAATTATAACTAGCTGATACTTGAGCACTCTGACAAGATACTGTGTATAGAAAGAAATGTCTTAGAAGCAGCTTGTATTTTTAAATCAGAGTTAATTTCTCAAATGTACTTTGGAAGAAAATCAATAATTCATGTTCTCTGAAGATTCCCACTTGAGCTCTTAGGTATTGTAATAAGTAAAACTTCTTTTATTGCTGAATTAAAATTTAATTTAAATATTAATATTTTAGAGTTTAACTTTCTATGTGTTTCAGACATGTCTTACCAGCTAGATTATGAGCTCACTGAGGGCGGGAATCATTTTATTCAGTAGTCCTTGTTGCACTAAGTGTAGGCAGTCAATTTTTTTCAGGAGATTAATATAGTTTACATGTTGAATTTGAAACCTAGATATGCACACTGTCATCATAATAGAAAAGTTGTTTATCTAGAAAAAATTCTCAAATATCTGTGAAGCAGTAAACAGTTATAAGTTGTGTCAGAAACCTATAGTTTATAATCTCCAAAAAAGAAAAGTTAATTTTTTAAATGACCAAAACCTTCATTATGTCCCAAGATAAACAATTTGTAACCTAGAAACAGTGGCTGAAGTTTAGTGGATCCTGATAGTTTATAAAAGCGCTGGGTGCCTGTAAATGTTTATTCTGAGGAAAGGTTGTACAGCTTTCACTATCTTCTTTAAGAGGTCCATGACCCCTAAATGTTGCCTATTGTCCTAGGCAACATTTAGATATTTGTGTCAATTTTAGCATCATTTTCATTCTTCCAGCCTGTTTGGATTTGATCTCACCTAACTTATTTAAGCCACAAATCTGCTAAATTCTGGTGATGAGTACAAGAGGGTTTAATGAAAAGACATTATAAAACTATTGTAATTGTTTTGATGACATACTTCATGCCACACAGTATGTAATTTTGCACTGTACAATTCAATTTTGGGAGCTTAGTGCCTTAATTTTTATTTTATTCATTGTGTCTATTTGAATTTAATATCTCTTCCCCAAAGGGGTGCTCTGGCCACTGATATTCTTAGGCTCCCTTTAAATCAATGCGCTTGGCCCTTCATGGGAAGATTTTTGTGACTTTGGTTAAAAAAGAAAGTCAAGAGCACTGAAGGCTTTAGATCATAGGTAATAGAGGTAAGGAGCCAGGCAGTGTTATTGGAGGAATAGTAAGCTCTGAGTTTGAATGTCTGCTATACTCCTTGCTACCTCTGATTTAGGGAAGTGCTGAACATCTCAATGTCTTCATCAGTAAATTGAGGATAATACTATATATCTCAGAAGGAGATAACACATATAAAACACCTACTGCAGAACCAAATGTGTCATAGAAACTTAAATACTGTTATTTCTTCCTCTCCTTTTTAGTAATGCTGTCTACATTTTCCTGAAACATAGAAATTGACCCCTTCTAACTCTGCTAGTAGATTATTATTAGTGTGTAGTTATTGCTATGCAAATTTGCCAAGTCATCTAAAAGCATCAAGCATTGTTAGCCTGTTTCAGGAAAATGGATTCCTTAATTTGAACCAGATAATGAGATCAAGAAAGCCAAGAGAGTCGTAGACATACACACACACCTATTATGTAATTGTCATATTAGCATAGTATTCTATATAGTACTTTCCACTTTTCAAAGAACTTTTCTGTTTTTTTATATTATTCTCACAAACAGAAACAGGGTACTAACCAAGAGAGAAAAGTTTTCTAGCATCTTAAGAACAGCTAGTTAAGGACAATTTTTTTCTTATCTTGATAGAAGTTGTTCCTTGACAGAAAACCACTGGGGGGCCTCTCTAGACTACAGAAAATTCAGTAGATGGCTTTTTAGTTCACTCATCATTGATTTGGAGTGCTTTCTTGGGCACATTTTTACCTGCCCAATTCTTTGTTTACTTCCTTTATGAAGTTAGAGTCGGTGACATTTAAGATTTTTTTCACATTCTGAAAGTATATGGTTGCATTTTATTTTATAGTCGATCATTACAGAATCATTAAATTAAAAGCTCTCCACATGCAGTATTTAATTAAAATCTTTTCACATGCCATATCATTGCATCTGTGACTCAGCATAGTAAGGGTATTTTAAAATTTCCTTTTATACGTGTGTTTTCTATATTACAAGGATGAGATGTTTAACATATTGGGTTTTTCTTCTTTCATCCATGCCACATGCATTAAATAAATGGCAGTCGGCAGACCACAGGGCAGCTTGGGACTCCCAGCAGGCAAATCCCCACCATTTGAGAGCTCACCTTGCAGCAGACAGACATGGTGGCTCGGTACAGGTATTTTCTGATTTTTGCATGAGTGATTATTTCCCAGATTTATACAACTAACCCTTTTTTGGAACTCATGGCATGATTTCATATCCTAATGAAAAACTTGTTCCTGAACTCTCCATAATTCTATTCCTTTGTATTTAACAATAAAGCAAACTTAACATGGCCTAGAAAGACCAGCAAGAATACTAAGATTTTGCCTTTGTTCATTTTTGCAAGTACATGCAACAGTATTTAAGTCTTACAACAGGTTAGAAAAACAAAGTGTATTACTCGAAATATGTGTTAAACTTGATTTTTCCAACAATAAACATAATCTTTTAAAATAGCTTTAAGTAATAGAATATTTTTATAAATTTTACTTTTCATTGACTTGCCTCTTTCAGACTTAAGTCATTTAAGTAGCTATATACCTTTTTTTATCCTAAATATTCAGAGTGTACTTTTTGATTACTTGAATAAGCATGGCTCTAATTTTTAGAGTGTATTTTGTTTGTACTTGTAGGAAATATGAGATGGAGAAAATAATTTCAAGGATAAGTATTTATTAAATATTCTCAATTTTCTGGATATTTGTGGGAATGTAAAGAAGTCTCTTATTTTTTGATGTGTGTTCTTTCCCCTGTCCATATACTTAGAGATAGTTACTATGTTCTGTCCTTTCTTGCCCCCTAAATTTTAGTCTTTTATACGTATGGGAGAAATAGGGAAGGATTACTGAGTCTCTTAATGTCTTTTAAAATGTTGACTTAAGGTAATCTAAGTGCTGGTTTAAAGTGATTATAAATGTTATTTTATCCATTTTAATTTAGAAACTAAAAATTTTTTGATTTTTTTTCCACATTTCCACTTGAACAAATTTTTTATATGTGTATGCTTAGTCTACTTAATCTATTTTATTCTTTCTTAAGTTGTGTAAGTTCTTATATTTTTCTCACCATTAAATTTTAGAGGTAACTTATATTATATAACCAAGAATTATTATAGGACTTTGTAGTATATGGAACTTCCAGTCATATATAATAGAAGTATTTGAATAGTTATATAAAACTTTAGAGTGAGGGACTCAGAGGCAAGGTTGCCAGAATTGTAAAATTTTTAATGATCCCAATTCATTTTATTAGAAAAGTTATTTCAGTAAATTATATTTAATTTGCACAACACAAGCTGGATTGTGTATGTATTTGTATACATTTACGTGTTCCCAAGCATAACATGTTATCATAGCAAGTGTCTTGCTGAGTGTTCAGGGAAATCTGCAGCAATTAAGGTACTTAGAAAGCTTTCCTACCACTTTTGTGCTGTTACCACAAAAACTTAGCTTCTTCTTGCACTATGGAAGTCCCAAAGGTGGCTTATGCAATCTCTATGGACTGTCAAAGAGAGAATGAGTTTGGTTATATTGACTCATCACTTCACCACTTTATATTCTATTTTTTCACATGTTTCCAAAGAGATATTTTAACTCTGCTCATTCCTCACAATCTCCTTAAAACTGTCTGCCTGTAGAGATTACATCTGCCTTCATTCTAATGTTCAATAAGTGATCAGTTTTACTTACTAGAACTCTAATAATACATAGGTGAAACGATAAATATTACGCTATATTCATTAACTTCCAGAATATATTTTACAGCATTAACTAACCTGATATGATGTACATTAAACAAGTTTGAATTGTTTTAATGTCATGAAAAATTTGCTAGTAGCCTAAGATCATGCCTGATTCTTCCCCCACTCCACGATATTGGATACATTTATAATTTATATCTTACGCACTTCAAATTTTGAAAAAATTATGACACATATAATTGGATTAATGAAATTGTAATTTAAGGCTAATAAGAGGAAAGAAGAGTGCCTAAAATCTATGCTAATATGATTTTTATAAGAATAATTGAATATCGTATTTGATTTTGAATGCATGAGGAAAAGAATATAGCGTGTTTTGTCATTCTCATTGTCGGATAAAAGGAAGGAAGAGCTCAAGAGAGAAAAACCTCTCTACTATTACAAAAGTATAGTAATAGGAAAAGTTGCCTTAAGGTTCTTTGTGTGATGGTCATTAAACCAACTTTTGGACAAAGTTTAAGGCATTGACTTGAAGAAATTATCTGCAACAAATACATGAAAAGCGTATCATCAGATAATTTCTCAGGAAAGATTTCCGTAGTAAGTGGATAGTTACTTGGTAACAAAGTGTGGTACTGGAGTAGGAAATTCAGAAGCAGAATCAGTGTAACTAAATCAGTACTAAAACGTGCCATTTTGGTACTGTGGCATTCATCCCTCGTCTGTGAGGTATAATTGACATATAACATAAGCTTCGAGTACACAGCAAAACAATTTGATATTTGTATATATGGAGAGATGGCAGTAGTAAGTTTAGTTGTCATGCGTCATACAAATTTTTTCCTTGAATGGGAACTTTTAAGATTTACTCGCTTGACAACTTTTAGTATTTTTATTATAGTCACCAAGCTGTACATTACACCCCCATGACTGACTTACTCTATTACTGGAAGTTTGTACTATCACTGCACTCTTTTCCATGGAACTGATGAGAGTTACTCTCAATGTGTCACCACTAAGGTGGGTCCAGTTGACATGTAAGATGAAAACTCTTGGCATTTTGATCTTCAGATATTCTTTTTTTCAGATATGCTTTTATTAGGAACTGAATTGTGGACTAAAAATTTGAGCTCCTTGTCTTTCTAGAATTATTATATACAGGCAATACTAAACAGAGTAATCTATTGCTTTTACAAATTAAGAAACTTGACTAGTATTTTTATTCATCTTTAGGCAGTGAAGTGTAGAGGTATAGCCAAAGAAAGCATTGTCAAATGCTGTATTTTAGTGTGACCACATTAATTTACTGACCTAGAAGGATATAGCTATACATTTAAGAAACTTTTTTCACTCAAGAGACTAAGAATAATATTCAGATATCTGAGAACTTTTATTTTGAATATGTTCTTAACTCATGTGTATTTTGAAAAAGCTCCTAGACCAATGAAACTCACCTCTCTCTGCTCCCTTTAGAATCATTGGTCATAAATACACATGAGAAACTGAGACCCATATCGCTTTCAGTTGCTGGCCATTCATTATTTAGCAAATACATATAAATGTCTACTAGGGGGGAGGCACTGTGCTAGATTCTTGGAATAAAAGGAAGAATAACAGATATAATATGGTGCCTCTCCCCAAGAAACTTTTCAGTCAGTGGGGAAGGCTAATGAGCAAGCATTGTGATAAGTGGAGAAAGCTTAAGGGGGAGAGTAGAGATATGGAGGAACTGAATAAAATTCAGTCAAGCTGGTGTGTACGAGGAAGGAGACTGAAAGGTAGGCAGGAGCTAAGTCATGAAGGGTCCTGACAGTTCTTGTAATTTAATTTGGACTTTATTCTGAGGATATTAGGTAGCTATAAGGAGAATTAGATAGGAGACTAACTTGATTATATCAGTGTTTTCTAAAGATCTCTGTTGCTGGAGATGAGATTAAAGGGAGACAAGCCTAAGGCAGGGACACAGCTATCAAGACTACAGTCTTGAGGAAAAACGATGGGTAGTGGAGATGAGAAATAAAAGGACGTGAAAGATAATTAGAAGACATAATTTAGTTGGATACGGGGGCTGAGTGGAAAGGAAGGGATCAGTTTCCCTTTTTGACGTATGTCTACCTGGCATCTCAGGGTCTCCAAAGTTAAGTTTTAAAAGGTACTGCTGGCAGGAGATACTGCTAATCTCTACTTCCACTGTAGCACAACTCCACTGAACTCAGAGCTAACTGTAGAGCTGATCCTATAAAGCTGAGAGGTAACTGCAAGGAGAGTGAAGAAGACAATATTAAGGACACTGTCTACTGAAAAACTACTTTATGTGGTATGGTATACTTCCTGATTGTTTGGAACTCTGTAGTTGTATAGCCTTTGGTTTGCATTAAAAAAATATATTTTACTTATTTATTTTTTGAGAGGGGGAAGGGAAGGAAAAGGAGGGAGAAAAACAACGATATGAGAGAGAAACACTATTCAGTTGCCCGTCACACACACCCCGACTGGGGGCCAAACTTGCAACCCAGGCATGTGCCCGTACTGGGAATTGAACCAACTTTGCTTTGCAGGTTGATGCCCAACCAACTGGGTCACACCAGTCAGGGCGCCTTTGATTTGCATTTAAGGAACAATGTAACCGAGCACTTCGGGGGAAAAAAGGGCAGGATCACAAATGGTACCAATGTGTTGGGTAGCCAGGCTATGTTGATGAAAATAAAAGAATAACATTAATAAGCAGTCTGATATTTTATTCAGTACATCTTCAGAAACAAAAACGTGATAACAGAAAAAGAATTAGGCAAATGTATCTTGAAATGGTAAGAAAACACATGTAGTTAAAAGTCAGAGGAGTAGTACATGCCTTATTTTCAGTCAGTTCTTTACTATGCTAATATTTAACATTGACCTTTCTAAAACATTTCAAATAAACAGTTTCACTTTTCCCTGTCAAGTCTTCAAAAAGGTACTAACAAGGAAAATAGTTGAATGAGTAGTGCAATTATATCTTTCTATTCATAGTTTTCTGGGGTACTGAAATTTGCAAAAGAGGTGGAAGGAGAGCATAGTGGTCCCCCATTACTTAGGGGGAGACATTCCAAAACCCCCATAAGATGCTTGAAACCATGATAGTACTGATCCTATGTACACTGTTTTTTTCCTGTACATAAAGATCTATGATAAAGTTTAATTTGTAATTTAGGACAAGAAGACATTAACAACATAACTCATAATAGGATAAAACCACTATAATATACTCTTAATAAAAAGGTATGTGAATGTGGTTTCTCTCAAAATATTATATTGTACTCTCTTCACCTTTTCACTTAAAGGAAGCACTTTACAACCTCTCTTTGGCATGTCCATATTACCAGCATCACTACTCTTGTGCTTTGGGGCCATTATCAAGTAAAATAAGGGTTACTTAAACACAAGCATTGGAATATTGAAATAGCTAAGTGACTAAACAGGTGGGTAATACATACAACGTGAATACGCTGGAAGAGGGGTGATTCATCCTGGTTGAACAGTACAGGATGGCGGGAGATTTTATGATGGTACTCAGAATAGCAAACAATTTAAAACTCCCGAATTGTTTATTTCGAATTTTCCACTTAATATTTTCAGACCGTGTTAACTGAAGTGGTGGAAAAGCAGAACTGTGGATAAGGGGAAGATACTGTAGTGACGTGCTTTTATTACATAAGTAATTTCCAGCTCATCTCCATTAGGTTTAGTTTAGGAAATTCCTTGTCTACTTATCATTGGGGTAAATCATCATTGTGAATTTATTTTGCTATCCTTTTACAGTAACAATTACAGTAACATCTTAAGGATAGGAATACTAAAAGAATATTGTGTTCTGCTTAACACTTTCATAAGTGAAAGTTAGATTGAAAATCTGTTTGGGTTTATTTTTGTTGAAAGACAATGAATGAGAATGTTTTATGTCTTCAGGTCATCAGTTGGAATATCAGGAATATTAATTATAACTGTAGCTATAGTTTTTAGAATATGTAAGGAAGTTGGTTTTTTATAGTATATGTGCACAGATCTAATAAAGCTTTTGGAAATTATTTTAACTATATCTTATTTATTAGTGTGATTTCTTACATAGATGACTTTTAGAAAATCTGAGTTGATAAGTAAAATATGTCTTAATCTTTCTAAGGTATTTTTTGCTTAGAAGGAGATGTGGTTAAATAATATATGGAGCCTCTACTGAACACTTGGTAATATGCTTACAAGAATGCAAATAGAAAATCAGTATAATAATTTGTATGACTTCATTATACTTGGGAAATATATTAGTTGGCCTTTTCAAATCATTAACTACAAAGATATCATGTGTTATTTTTGTACTCATGATAATGAGTCTATGAGAATGACTTCTTTTGGAAGTAGTTTGGGCAGGTGGGCATTAAGAGAATCATCATTTTCTCCCCCACTTAGCTGCAGGCTGTTTCTCCCTCCCCTCCCCTCCAACTCTGATATAGTGACAGTAAAACTGCAGTCTGGGTGCCTTTCTTTTTTAAATTTTAAAAATGAGAACTGCATTGTTTCTTTCCAGAGTGAGAATGTCAGAAGATTAAAAACAGTAATAACAAAAACACCCTGTAAAATACCTGAATTATTTTTGAAATGTAAACCCAAGCTTCTGTCAATTTTATTCAAATTTTCATTAAAGAAATTATCCTGATGAATACTAACATTTTAGAAACTTCTGTGTTCTAGTCGGAGTTAAAATTCTAGAAATGTCACTTAAATGGAATCATTCTTTGGCTTATAAAAATTATGTACATATATTTTTAATTGTTCGATTTAGGTTTTCAGGAAAATAATGATACATTATTTTTAATATTGTCTTTGTTTCTTATTTCTAAAATCTCTTTGGAAAAAGACCACTAGTTTTCTTATGTCAGAACAATTTTAATGCCATAATACACTCTCATATCACTGGTGTTAAATAGGCCTACTCTACAGAGGAGCTCTGTTACCATATTCTCTTTCTAATTCAGTGTAGGGGCTCTGACATTTAAAAATTAAGAATGAAGAACCAAAATATGCATGTGAATTAGAACAAAATAATTATTTTAAAATATTTTCAGGATGAGGAAAAAATAAAGAGAAAAAAATCAACACAATTCAATAGAGTGACGGAAAGGAAGAGCAGGTGCCCCAGAAGCAGAGATGCAGACTTAGACATAGTTTTCTTCTTTTGGGGCTGTCTTTAAAGATGATCAAAAAGGATTTGTGTGTTTTTAGCTGTAGGCATAAATGCAGTGTTCCTTTCTAAGTACTTACGCCACGTAGGATATAGGAAGCTGAACTTCCATAATTCTTAAATTAATTCAGGCATATCGGTTGATATTTAGTTACTTTTCTTAAGGTCAGGAAGAGAGGGGCCTATTTCTTTACACTAGAAAATCAGATCCATAGAGCTGGGATGATTGTCTTATTTACTATGGTGTTCCAAGTTCCTATAACAGTGCCTGGCATGTTGTACCTCTTGGTAAGAGCTTTTAAATTAATTAAGTTTTAGAAATAAGGGGTTCTGTAAATAATACTCTTTAGTCTAGTAGTCACCTGTCAATTCTGGTGCCCAGGCCTTTGATATGCTAACATTTTTTTCTCATAAAGAGATCAGGTAGGGGAAGCATCAAGGATGATTCTTAAATTTTGAGTCAGAAGGTCTGGGAATATGGGAGGGCTTTAATAGAAGTTGGAAATACAGGAAGAGTAACGCATTTAAGAGAGTATGATAAATTTTGGTTTTGGAAATAATGAATTTGAGGTGGCAGACTTGGTTAGGCTCAGGGGATCCTTTATACAGAGGTGATAGTTGAAGCCACGATTGTAGGTGAAACTGACAGTAATAATGGCAGTGGCCATTCATTGAGTTCTTTACTATATGCCAGTCGCTGTACTTTATATATTGATTTCATTTTATCCTCACATCAACCTTAGTAAATAGTTTTCCATTTCATGGTTGAGAACACTGAGATTTAGCTAGATAAGATAACTTTCCCAGGGTTGTGTAGCTGGTAAGTGGTAGAGCTAGGTTTTGAATCTAGACCCATTTTTTAAAATTTAATTATTGTTGAAGTACAGTTTTCTGTCTTTTACTCCCATCCCAGCCTACACCCCCCCCCCCGCAATGCTCCCCACCTCCCTCCCATTTCCACCCCCCTAAGTTGTTGACCATGTGTCTTTTATACTAGTTCCTGTAAATCCTTCCCCTTTTCCCTCTGAAATTCCCTTTCCTCTGCCCTCTGGTCACTGTCCCCCTGTTCTCTATGTCATTGTCTTTGTTTTTATCCTGCTTGCTTGTTTGTTTTGTTGTTTAGCTTCTTGTTAAAGGTGAGATCATAAAGTATTTGTCTTTCAACACCTGGCTTATTTCATTTAGCATAATGCTTTCCAGTTCCATCCATGCTGTTGCAAAGTGTAGGAGCTCCTTTTTTTTTCTGCTGTATAGAATTCCATGGTGTATATGTACCATAATTTTTTGGATCCATTCATTTACTGACGGGCACCTAGGTCGCTTCCAGCTCTTGGCTATTGTAAATTGTGCTGTTATGAACATTGGGGTGCATAGGTTCTTTTGGATTGGTGTTTCAGGCTTCTTAGGATATAATCCCAGCAGTGGAATTGCTGGGTCAAAAGGCAGGTCCATTTTACTCCAAAGTCATCAGTTGATGCCACGTGATGAGAAATATACAGGAAAATGAGGATTGAACAAAGATAACTGAATATATTCCTAGAAAATGAATATATTTCTAGAAATGTACAGGAAAATGAGGATTGAACAAAGATAACTAAATATATTCCAAGAAAATATTCTAGGAATCATTGGTAATTTTTAAGAAAACTCTTGACGTTCTGGTGTAGGAAAGAAGTAGATATTACAAGGAATTGAGTAAATGAACAGAAACTTTTATAAAAATTGAAATGGGAAGTTAAGGCTTCTTTTTAATAAATTTTGGGAAAAGCAAGAAATGGTGACTTTGTAGGACCAAGCATATTTGGGAGTTTTCTTAGGGTTTTTATATTGTTCTACAAATTCATGCACGCATACAAATATTTATTTAGTTCCTACTCTGCGCCAGCTAGATACGGAGATATAGCAAGAAACAGTGCAAGGATCTTGCTGTCACAGAGCTTAATTTTAATGGACAAAATCAAACAGAAAAACACCAGCATGGGTCAATGCTATACAAAGAGTTAAAAATAGAATATGACATGCAAGAGAGTATCTGTATGGAAGTTTTAGATTGTATGATAGAAAGCCTTGTTTTAGAGAATTTAAGAGATAAGAAGATAGCCAATAAGCAGGAAGAAAATACAGGCAGTGGGAATAATGCCAAGGCCTTATTATCAAATAGGAGTAAGCTTGACAATCTTGGATGGAGGCTACTGAGGCAAAGGGAAAGTGGTATGGTATCAGAGAGATAGGCAGGATTCAGAGTTTTTTATGGGTCTTTTTAAATTGGTGTAAAGACCATGGATCTTTATTCTACATTAAGTGGGATGTCAGACACTTGAACAATTTTAAGCAGGGAATTATACATGATCTACATCTTAAGAGGAGAACCTTGGCTGATGTGTGGTTAATAGACTAAAGAGGGAGGGCATACATGTAAAAAAGCAGAAGACTGGTTAATAGGTTTTTGCTCTTTCTCACACAAAAGATAATGGTGGCTTGGACTGAACTCTTAGTAATAAAGTCAGGAGAGAACTGATTAGATTTGGAATGTATTCTGGGGGAGGATAGAAAAGGACCTGCTGATAGATTGATTAGATACGGATTTCAGTCAAAGAGGAATCACAGTGACTCCTGGATTTGGGCCTTGAAGAGCTGGGCGAATGAATGGGCGGTATAAGAGGGAGACCTGAGCATGATTACATTGAAATGAAGGACTCACTGAAAGAAGCAATACTGATGTTTGCAAGCGACATAATTGGTGGTGAAGCAAGATACCAAAAGAGTGAGCACACTAGAGGGAAGCAATTGAGAAAAATGTAGTAGTTAGTCTTAAGTTTTTAAGACAGAAGACAGAAATTTCAAGATCAAAAGGAAGTTAAAAAGCAAGTATTGGACAACCTTGATCTTTAACAAAATGCTAGACCTATTATTGTGTTTAGTTATGAACAACTCCATATTGTTTTATGTTCCTCATATTAACTTTCTAATTTAAATATTTTAGCTTACTTATGTTTATCGTTGTATAAGCTATTACTTTGTGTATATACATTTTTTGTTTGTTTTTTTTTTGCAGGTTGTAAGTTCTACAAATGGAGAGTTAAACACAGATGACCCCACTGCGGGACGTTCAAATGCACCCATCACAGCCCCTACAGAAGTAGAAGTGATGGATGAAACCAAGTATGTATTCATTTTTCTTGTTTTAGTAACTTTTTGTTCTTAAACAGTGCATGTTTGAGATTTATAGCCATATATAATTATTCCAGGAATTTTTTTCAAGGAATAGGTGCATGTGAAATAAGTGGTATATTTAATCAATTTTAATCACTAAGTTTAGAATAGTGCTATCTTAATAAATATCTTAAAAATACAAAAATATTTATTTAAGAACTATGATGAAATTCTTATTTAGAATCAACAGCATATTTTTAGCTCCTTATTTTTAGGAGTGTTGATGCATGAAAGTTACTGCTATACTAGAGATGCTTGTTTTTTCTGTAAGCATAAGAACATATAACTTTTGTTGAGAGTATTCTGCATGCATTAGTACTAGTTTTAATTTAGTTTTTGTGAATGTAAATTACAATAATGCTGCTTGAAAAAAATTAAGCATGAAAAAGTGTGATAATTTCAATGTGGGCTGTTTCTGATGATCTCTCTCTTTTTTTCCTCGTATTTTTTTCTTTTTGTGAATAGCTGCCAGAAAGTGTTGAACATGTGGTGAGTTCCCAAGTGTAGGCAGGCAGAAATAGCTCCGCTGACTGTAATTTAAAAGATGTAGCACCATATTGTGTTTTTAAAAAACATATCTTTCAACATAAACATTATAATTTGTTAAAGTTGTTCAAAAATATTTGATATCATTTACATTAGCTCTGGAAAGCAAGAAATAATTGTTTGAGGAGCTCTTTTGCCTGCTGCAACTTTTGCTTCAAGTAACATAGATTTGGGGGCACTTTTTAATTGAGTAGATACACCAACCTTGCTTGTGCTTGTGCATTTGCTTTTTAATACAGGGGCTGTATTTGCTACTTCAGATAGAAAGGCAGACTTTTGAGATACACTTTCTTTTTTTCCTCATTGTAGTTGTTAAGTACACATAGTAAACCCCTTATCCCAACCCCAATATTATCACTAAAAAATATTTCATTTATTAACTAATAATACTGCTATGTAACATATAGTATATATTGATAAATTTCATTATATAGTTGAGAGGGCATTATGAAAAATCCTCATCTAAATATTTCCTCCTTGTTGCAGATATTATCAAAGGTAATGTTTCTAGTAGTTGAAGTGTTGAGTTTAGCTGTTGCTGGCATTTGCCTTTAGTGTTATGCCACGTCTAAAACGCTTCTCAGCTTCTGGATGATTTTTGAGTTCGCCTTGGAGTGAATAAAGAAAGTTGCTTAGATTAATAAATTTTGGAAAGTTCTGACCATAGCCAAAAGGAACCTTATATATTTTCCAAAATAATGCTCCTTTGCTGGCTGCATGATGAGGAAATTTTTATGCATATATCTTTTTAAAGAACAATGATCAAGTATCCATTTTAATCACTTTTGACTCTGGGATTTATTGACAGTATGATTTACTCTAGTGGATTGCAGGATATAATTAGTCAACTATATCCTTGTGCATTTTTATGTCAAAAATAAAAAGTTTGTGCTCATTTCTGCAGTCTCGAGTACAGCAGTCGGGGGGCAGCACGGCAGATGAGAGTGTGTGTGTCCTTTGCAGTTATACAGCCTGTAGAGTCCTACTTCTCTCATGTTACTACCTTCCTCAGGCTTGTTTCTTTTTCTGTATAATAAGGCGAATAATATCTACCTCATAGCTTTGAGAAAGTTAAATGTGATTAAAAAAACCTGGTCTTTTGTCTGGCAGATGGCAGGTACTCAGTAGTTGTTACCACCCCTTTCTAGCTCTCCCCTTCTAGTCGCCCGTGGCCCGTCTTGTCTGTGTTCTTCCAGGGCTGTGCTTCTTGTATCATTGTCCCGTGTGTTTCATTCCACACTCACAGCTCTTCACTAAACTGGCGGTTCTGTGTGCACATCCTCCTAGATACCCATTTTTAACAAAATCTATTACATTTTCCCATTTATTCATTCAGCAGTAATGCTGCTTGGATTTCAGAAGTATCTGATACCACCCTTGCCCTTTGGTAGAGTACACCATAAGGAAGATGACAGTTGTGTTAACATATATCATTATATGGTAAATACTTTGAAAAAGGTATAAAGAGGAGGATTGCTTCCCGACAGGATGATCGGGGAATGCTTTATTGAGGTGGCTTTGAAGAACAACATAGTAATTTTCTTAGTTGAGATGGGTGTGGGTGTTTGTTTATGTGTATGTTTATGGGTTTGGGTTTCTCTGTGTAGGCGTCGGAAGATGAGAAAAATGGAAGTAGATGGTGGCAAGGTTATTCCTGCAGGGAAGATTCTCTGGTGCTTGGAGCATAAAGTCTAAATTGCCTGGCATAGCACCAAGGCCGTTCACATCTTCCATAGTCTGGCCCCAGCCTTTCCCAGCTCCATTTTTCATTCTGAAACCTATCTTCTGTTGCTTCCATTCTGCCGTCGATATATTTTTTTATTAATTTCTCACTTCTAGAAATGTCATGAATTTCTTGAAAACAAGGCCTTTTTCATTTTCAGATCCCCAATGCATAAAAAAGTATATGTTAATAAACTAGTATGACTCTAAATAATGTGGTGTATCCATACAATAAACTGTTAATTAACAGTATAAAAATGAAATTGAAAACATTATGCTAGGTGAAAGAAGCAGCTACAAAAACCTAAATATTACATAATTGCATTTATATGAAAAATCTAGAATATGCAAGTATATAGAGACAGAAAGTAGACAGTGATTGCCTAGGGCAGGGAAGAGGAGGATGGGCGTGACTACTGCTAGGCAGTGCGGTTTCTTTATGGGGTGATGAAAATGTTTTGAAATTACATAGTGGTGATTACAGCTGCGATATATAAAAACCACTGACTTGTACACTTTAAAGCGGTGAATTTTATGATATGTGAAGTATATCTTAATAAAACAGTGATTTTTAAAAGATTTTATTTATTTTTAGAGAGATGGGAAGGGAGGGAAAAGAGGAGTGAAACATTGATTGGGTGTCTCTCACTGGGGACCTAGCCCACAACCCAGGTGTGTCTTCTGACTGAGAATCCAAATGGCACCTCGCAGTTCACAGGCTGGTGCTCAGTCCACTCGGCCTCACTAACCAGGGTTAAAGCAGCGATTAAAAAAAAAATGGATAGTAATCCATGATTTCAGTAAAGCTTTATTCCAGATAGGTTACAGAAATCCTCAGAACTTTCCTAACTTCATTAGTTGAAAACTCTGAATATAAAGTTTTGTCTTTCCTTTAATCAGGGTTATTCTTACATTCCTACAAGTTTACTGTTTCATTCCTCATATCCTTTTAGTCTGGGATTAAGAAATTGTGAGCACGGTTTCTTTTTCTAAATTGTATCTTATGCTTTACTTTTCCACCATTTTGTAAGTAGCTAGGAACCTGCTTAGAATTCTCTTTCAGAAATTGTTCCCAGCGTCTTCTCTCTCCTTTTACCTGTGGTTGGCAGAGATTGCCTCACCGCATCCCATTAACTAGAGTGTATTTCACAATGGGCGTTTCAGAGTCTTAACCTTTCTAGGATAGTGTCTCATGGGGTAAATATATGATTTCTGAATGATGGAAAATATTCTCTTCCCCCAAGAACAAAGTGACTCTTTCATTAGTAATGAGATTTTGCCTTTTTCACGGTAGCTGAGAATCTTTTTCAAGGCAGGTGATATAAATAATAACACCCTTATCATTCATTGTAGGAATTAAACAAGGCTTCCTTTAGTTTTGTTATAGAGTTTTTATGTAGTGTGAAAGCATTATTTTTTTTAGTTTCTTTTCCCTTTTCTAATATTTGATGAATGGTTATTGTGTGTTTGTTGTTAATATGAAAATTATGAAGCGAAATCCAGAAATCCAAGCCTTATTTTCCATTAGAGAAGATAGTAAGTATAACAGTGGCTTTTGCATAGTGGTTCTTTACTCTGGCTTCATTTCACAATCTTCTGGGGAGTTTGAAAAATATGATAATACTTAGGCTGCCCTATCAGAATTTCTGATTTAAATGGTCTGAGGTTGGATCTGTTTAGCAATATTTTTAAAAAGCTACTAAGCCGATTCTAAGGAACAGCAAGCATTGAGAACCATTGGTCTCTCCCGGATTAGCACTGTAGAATATAATGTTGTCGTAGCTCAGAGACTTCAGTGCTTACTTGCAGTTGAGAAGAGAAGTCTTCATGGGTAAGGGTGTATTTGGACTAGAGATGAGTATGATTTGGCAAAGCTGATGCATAGCAGTCAGGGAACAGAGGCTGAACAACAGTGTAGAGCAAGAAAAGAACGGGGCAAGTCTGAGGAGTAAGCCATGTGGCTGTGTAGTGTGTGAGTACGTTAATGGGAACTGGGATGAATGGGCTAAGTGTCCAGTCTTAAAAGAACTTAATAGCCAGGTTAAAAAAAATGGACTTTTTTTTTCAGTGCAAGAATGAAAGCTCTGTGTTATAAGCCAAGACATGGTATAATTAGATTGAACCTTAGAAAAATTAATTTGGCAACAGTTTCAAGGCTTGTGTCACTTCCTGGGATTCATCAGATTGCAGAAAATCTTCCCTCCTTCCTTGCATAGTTTAGGCTGCCTGAAAAGGAGGCCTAACAGATGATGAAGCTGAGAGGAGAGTGGAAATAGGTTGGATCCAAATTTTAAGAGCTGTGTGGACTTCATGCTGTAGTGTAGAACCATCGCTGAGATTTAAGAGGAAAAGGGCTTGGTTATACAGGATTGGGCAAAAGTAGGCTTACAGGTGTTCATAGGGAAAATAACACAATAATAAATAATAATACAAGAATGAAGTCTGTGTTTTGCATACTTACAACTATACACCTACTATGGCCCCCCCCCTTGTATTTATGAGGGGGAAATTTTGGATGGCAGATTGGAGAGGGGGAAACTTAGACTGGGAAGTCAGTTAAAAGGTTCTTAGCATTGGTGGAGACAAAAAGCTGTAAAGTAAACTAGTGTAAAGAATGGGAAAGTATCGAAAGTCATTTTGGATGTGAGGGACTAATTACATGTGGAGAGGAAGAAATTGAAGATGAGGCTGGGTGTGCAGGTTCTTGGTTAGAATAGTTATGTAGATGGCCGTGCTCTCTGATCTAAACTCTTCATGGTTAACTAAACAATTCCTAATTGTAAAAATCAAGAGATCCAGGGATATGAAATTACATATCAGGTGTAAATTTTAAGGGGAAAAGTCCTTTGCCAAAGTTAAAAATTAGAGGTCATAAAAGATGTTTTTGTATACCCATCAACTCAGAGGAGGAGAGGCGAGGTTCTGGAGTCCTAACTGGACAGGGTCTGGCAGGTGACCAAGAGTCTGTCAACCAAAGGATGAGCCAGTGAGTCATTGTGGAAGAGACAGATTAAGAACTTCACATTCAAATAAATGTGCTTCATTTTCTCAGTAGATTTGTAAGGAAGAAGTATATGACATAATTCAAAAAAACCAGCCAAATTCAGTGAAGAAAAAGGCAATGACTAGAGCAGAAATGGTGGTGTAATGTCAGTAGCAATGCCTTCGCCCTTATCAGTATGTTTTTTAGGAGTTTGATTCATTGTGGTTCCATGTTTACCTACCCAAACACTATTTAAAGCAGCAACCTTAGAATTCATGAGAAGCAGGACTTAACATTTATTTCCAAAGGATTTTAGAATAGAGACGTGTCTTCAAAGCTTTTAGACTAGCTACCAAATTATCACATCAGAAGCATGAACTTGACCTGTGAGAGCAAATTGGCTTACTGAAACCACGTAAGGAATAATCATGTCAGAGTCATGAAAAAGAGGATCATTGACAAGAATGTGATTTAAATGGCTGGTAAGCTTAACCAGCCTCCCCAAGGTAGTTGTCAATAGTCTTGAAAGACCCCAAATGAGGTATGAACTCATAAATAAGAAAATGTAGCTACTAAGCAACAGGGACAGAAAATATATTTTAACATTTTAAAGATGCGAATAATTTTCTACGACCAGATAATTAAATTTATTGATAAAAATAACTTGCTCATGTCATCTGTGAGAACTAATGGATGCACTAATTCCTAGAATCTTGGCTGTTACTTCCAGCTATTACTGCCAGTACCTTTCTTCCCTTTCAACTGTACCAAGTGTTAAAATAACATTGTCTCTTTTTACTCATTTGCCTGCACTCATATAAATTGGTGGCGTGGTGTCCACTCAGTATCTGCAGTGTTCAACTCACAGCATCCAGGCCGCAGCCTCACTGGAAATGAAGCAGGAGTGCATCTGGGGAGCAGAGGTTCTTGAGGTGCAGGCTCTTTTAAGAATGTGGCACAGGCTTCCCCCGCCCCCCCCGCCCCGAAAAGCTTCCACAGGCACTGAAATATGCATTTTATGAGGTTTCACTAGTGTACATGGCCCATGGGTAAGAACCCTAGTTTCACAGACTGTTGGAGAATCTTGACTAGATTCTTATTCTAGGAGTCTCATTTTTGAGGAAAATCACTGATTTATTCAATAATATTTAATGAGTTATAACTTTGTGCCCATTTGTGAGATGTACCTGTGAGCAAGATCTGATAAAGCTCATTTTCTATGTATAGACAGATAAGTAAATAAGTAAAAAAAAGAAAGTAAATAAGTAAATAAAATAAATTTAGATTTAACTACTAAGTACTGACAGTAAAATACAACAGTCATGTGACAGAGTGGTGGTATGGGAGCAGCATGTTTTAGGTAATTGAGTGCTCCAGGGCAGCAGACAGTTGAGATGATACATAACTTCTTAAGTACAAAGGCTGTAAACCAGCTGTTTTGATAATGATTCTAATAAATCAGCCACAAGTTTGAGTATCAGTTTTTTAAGTGTATCTTGAGAACCTCTCTATGCGAATGCATTCATAGTGCATAAAGCAATGGTGCCCTCTTGTGGTAGTTTAGTGGCATGCCAACTTTTGCAATTATTTCAAGAGTGTACTTTAGTGGGATTAGGATTTATTTCTGAAAAATAGATGTCTTCTTTAGATTGCTTTTGAATTTAAAACCCTTTACAATTATAGTTCATTTGAAAATCTTATTCAAAGATAAATAAATAAATTTTGGGAGTAGTTTTATGTGATCAATAACATTGAAGGAATGGTTGCCTAAGAAATGGGAAAAACTCAGCTCTCAGAACTGAAAGCAGATTAATGGTACTGGAAAATAAAGCAAAGCAATGTGAATTGCTAATATAAGTATGGAAAATCTGGGACTTGGATTTGTTCATCAAAATATGTACAACATTAAATTCCCCATTCCAAAAGGCTTACACATACCTTAAGGCACATTTTCAGTAGATCATTTTTGAAAGAATGTGTTTTGGAATTTGAATAGTCAAGAAACAGTATTTAGGAACACTAAACATTATCAATAAACTTTATATTAAACAATTAATAAATTTTAATTGAAATCTGGTCATATTCTTTATTATTTAATATCCTAAATATTTGGTATGTTTCCTCTGTACCAATTTTATGCTTATTTTTTTAACTGTGTGGACATATTCTGACTCTTTAAAGTTTTAATTGAAAGGTTCTTTTTGGAATAATGGGTTTTATCTCATAGATAAAATCCATCATTTGACTTTTTGTTTTGCTTTTTATTTTTAAGTGGTTTGGGAGGGTATTAGATAGTTGACAGTTAAAAGTAAATTTGACTTAGTTTATTAAGTCTAGGAAAAACCTATAGCACCTAGATTCTTCTTTTATTATGGTAGCTCTTTTTAAGGCCCTTGATTGGATAATTTATTTCTGTTATTTCTGGTAGTTACCTCAATAAAAGTAAAATTCACGATGATTGATAATTGCACATATTTCTAGTTGAATCTTTATCAGGTGGCACATAGGCTTTTGAATTATTCACTCTTGATGGTCTGGTCATTGTGTTCTGTTTTAGTGCGTACTTTGGTTTTGAATGTCCCACAGTGATTTCATAATTGTGGCATAAATCACACTAAGTGGTCTGAAATTATTTTTGACAGTATGGGTAGAGAGATTGTGTAATTTAACTGGATAGAGTGGATTTGTTTACATTTACTTCACCAAAAGAGATAAAATATTTCTAGCAATTATTTCATCTTCCATAATCTTTTGCCAGTAGGACACATGAAGCTACATGGTCTCCATTTTATGTAGCCTGAAAATGTCAAGTTAATACCCTTCTGTGAAGGTGGGCTGATGAGATAGGTGGGCTGATGAGATTTACAGGAATGTGTTCATAAGGTCACCATTCTGAGGTTTTGAATTGGCAGCATTTTGTGGATTGGATCACCATGTATATAACTATGTCTTGCTTTTATTACAAAATATGATTTATACATGTACACTCTGAACTTCAATGGGGACACAAAAGGAGCCCCTTTTTATATGGTACCTATTATCTTTATATTTGATAGATTATGTAGATTGAATTTATTCGATAGATTAGATTGAATTTATCGATAGATTAGATAGATTGAATTTATATTAAGTGTGGGGGGGCAGATCTTTATTTAAAGGAATGGCTGACTTTTAGGGGGGAAATTGTGTGTGTGTGTGTGTGTGTGTGTGTGTGTGTGTGTGTATTTATTTGCCTTCTCGACTGCTGACCAGTGGTTCTCATGCTCACGGACTTGGAGTTTGCACCATCCTCCACACTGCTCTCTGCGTGTTGCATGTGCCTCGTCCTCTCACGATGAGGGGAATGTGCTGTGAGAATCACTAGTTCTCTCAGGGGTCATCTCTGGAGTTCCTTCACCTGGGAATAACAACAAAAAAGTACAATATTTCCTTCACAGACTACAATACTGAGTCAGTTTTCAAATACGAAACTGAATCACCTTGATTGTGCTATTTTAAATGTTAACTATAACTTTTACTCTAATTACAATCGCTTAGGATAAGCTTGACCTCCTTCAACCCTTAAAGAACTAGAAGTGCTAATGGTGACATTCTTACCCTATTTAATGTTTTCTCTCTTATAGTTTGTGAATATGATGGAAAATGTTTGGTGAAGAGTGCATTTCGGATTTCTTTTTTTGTTTTTGGAATCAAAAATAAGTGAAAACACATTCATCAGTGTTAGGATCATTATTGCTTTTCTTACAATGGCTTCAATAATTATATACAAATACAAAGAAGAAAGGGAGAGAATCTCTAAGACGAGTAGTGTAAAAGCCTGCCGTAGCCAGAGATGAACAAGTATCCAAAGTAACAATGTGGTGGCCAGTTCGGGTCCAGAGCCCAGAGCTTCTCAGCTGGTCTTTGTGCAGAACCTGTTCAGTTCAGTGACTCCTTTTAATGTTGCTTAAAATGTCTTGCTATTCCTAAAAGGCACACTGAGAAAATAGTAGTGATAACTCTGCCATAATTTCACTAATATTTATGCTTCATTGGCATGTTCACTATCTTGCACTAGTCTGTTGCTTCTTAACAGCCATTTAAATTAGTAGGATATTGGCAGCTTTACTTTGTGACATTTTATTACCTTTATGATAAAACAAATGTTTCCCTCCACCTGCAGGTGCTGCTGTTTTTTCAAACGAAGGAAAAGAAAAACCATACAGCGGCACAAATGACTCTGGACGCAGACGGATCATGGGGAGTTACTTACGTGTTCATCTTCAGTCTTGTGATTGAAATCATCTCTGTAGTGACCACATATATTTTGAAGGACTCACTCTTAGAAACAGAAATGTCCTACTTTCATACTTCTTTTGGTGGTTGTCTTACATTCATATTTTTTTAATTTAACTTTTATGAAAGCTTTAAAGTTTTGTCAAAAGATGAGTGCTTTGCCCATCAGTGAATGGAATGGACCAATGAGGTAGTATTTTTTCCAATTTTTTAAAAAACTGATTTTAGAGAGAGAAAGGAAGTGGGAGGGAGAGAGAAACATTGGTTTGTTGTTCCACTTATTTATGTATTCATTGGTTTATTCTTGCATGTGCCCTGACTGAGGACTGAACCTGCAACCTTGGTGTATTTGGACAGATGGTCTAACTAACTGAGCTACCTGGCCAGGGCTGAAGTAGTTTTGATGAAAACAGTTCTATAGAACATTTTTCAGAAGCTCTGCTATTGTAGAAAGCAGTACAGTATCTTAAATGTCAACCAGTTATATATCTAAATCCGTTTTTTAATAACTTCTGTAACTGCATAATCAAATAGGAATGTTCTCCCCAGTGGGTAATGCAACAAAGAAAATAGAGTTGCCCAAATGTTTAAAGATGTTGTTACTTGAGAAGTTCAGTTTTGGTGTGACATTGGCATTGGCATCAGTATTACTGATGGTACTGCTTCATCAGTCATATTGACACTCTCTCTGTGAAATCATGGTACAGTCACTGCCCAGAGGTACCGAGGAACATCTCCGTAGAGTCTGTGGGTTCTGCAGATGTTAGTGGTGAAATGAACCACAGGTAACCTGGTAAATACGAGCTCTGCCTTTGTCATACCGCTATGTGAATTACAGTGTTGCTGGACTGGCAAAAGCGCTTATTTTAAAAATGCAAAATATTTGTATAATGTAACTTTATGCTTCCAGATTATGTACGGTAGATAGCAAGAGATGAATACTTTGAGAAATGAGATATGTGGGAGTTTTTTTTTTTAATACACTAAGAAGAAGAAGTAAATGTGAATCTTTTTGCAACATTTTAAGGTTGAAGTCAAAGGAGATCCCACTGAAACCCACTGCTGAATGATTATATTCTCCCTTGAGCAGAAAACTTCAGATGTGCCATGCAGTGGTGTCTGTTTATTAATTATTTGCTCTTTGATAAAAAATCCCCAGCAATAAAAACGGGGTCACTTTATTGCCCTCTGTGCACATTAGTCTCTTGGATTCAACTTTGCTGGTTCTCTAGAATTTTCTGACTTTTTAGCATAATTTTGATGATTGAGAACTATTTTGGAGAGGATGGGTCAGGTGCTTTGCCTCCTTAGTCTTTTAAAGTGCCTGCATATGAACAAAGTTATGGTTCTGTAAAAAAGGAAACCCATTCCATTTTTCAAGTATGCTTTGTTTTAAGCCATAAATACAGATTTTTTGTCATTCTTCCAGCCAGAATTTTTGAGAAGAGTTAAAGCAGAAAGACTAGTTAGAGAATTATGTTGTTCAAATCTTACCTTCACCTTTCATTTACCAGATTGTTCCTTACTCCTTCCATGCAGCCCTTTCTTTGTCTTTAAGTGCGTGCCTCCAGGCACACTTATTTATTTTTATTGTCTCAAGGTAACATTTAAAATGTGTAATTAAAGTAAATAAATCTACATTTTTGACTTTATATTGCATTTACAGGGATTTAATTGTACTTTGTAATTTATTTTTTCTTATTAGCCAAAAGTTCAATGCATTGTTGATGAATTAGATACCCATATGAATACCAGAGACCTGGACATGGTTTATCATTGTTGCTCTTAAGTCCTATGAATGACCTTTTTAAGTTCTTGATTTTAAAGACATGCACTCATCCTGGAAAACATTTGCTGTATAATTTGGTCAGCAGTTTCATCCTATCTATTTGTGTACTGTCATGATGTCTTAAAATACAGGAGTCACACACTGAGTTGTTCATTTTGTTTGCTTTGAGCAAAGTAGATGGATGTTTTGGCCATTATAATGTGAAACCACTTCTTTCTTTACAGTATTTGACCAAATTTGTGTGTCTATGATATTTGTAAATACATGCAATATCTGTATTTCTTATCATAAGCCTATTTAGTTTTATTCTCAGTAGGGTTTTTGGACTGTACAGTGTTTATATGATCTGAACTCCTTATACATAAGAAGGTGTGTATATTAATCCAATTATGGACTTAAAATATTTTAAAGGTATAAATACCCTTATTTGCTGCAAAGACCAGTCTGTAGACATTTGCTTTTTAGCAATATTTTTAAGTGCTCCATTTTAATGCCAAGGAATAAATCTTTTGGCAACACAAACTGGTCAATAATAAGTAATGCAGGTATGTTCAGGTTAAGCCAACAAGGTTTTGCATTTTTATGCTTCTTTTCTGTCAACACTAATGAAATCAACATTGCCTGAATGTCTGAGTAATGAAACACATCCCTGTTTAAAAGTGTGTAACTGAAAAAGAAATAAAAAATAAAGGTAGTTTTTTTAAACTTGCTCTTTCCCCGTTTCTCTAGTCATGGGTACTATAATTCCACTCACTAATTTGAGGTAGGAATATTTAAAATTTAGTCCTTTAGTTTTAGTATATGGGAGAAACGGAGCTACAGGAATACACTGTAGTTTTAGTTTTGCTTTGTTGGAACCCGCTGTATAGAGCACATACCAGGAAGCCTAACCTTTTGTTAAGAAAAGTTAAAAAAATTTTTTTTACACTGCTATGAACTACTTAATGAAGCAATTAATTAAAACGAATGCCATTAGTAAACCAAAGGAGGGAAACAGAATCATTCTATTTTTAAGAATGAAGTTACACCGTTATATACATAGAAATGAAATTACTAATTCAACTTTACATGAATATGACTTTATTATCGCAGATGGAGGGCACATATCTGTGGCAATATCTCACAGTTTATCATTGTTCTGGGTACTTCAAGGCATTTTACAAAATGGTATTAATGGTACTCTGTTTACTAAAAGGCACTAGAGGTAACATAAGGCAAAGCAACATACACCAAGCACGAGCATTCAGGAAATGGTTAATAGGCCCTGTGCAGAAAAGTGTGACTTAAGATGCAATCTGAATGATTTCATAGTTGCAGAGTGAGTCCCCGTTGAACTGCAGGTGATAGAAACCTGACTTGGCTGGTGCAGTAGCACACTGAGCTGAAAAGTCCAGTGGCATAGCTGATTTCAGACATGCTCGGTCCTGCTGCAAAGTCAGGCATCTATGTTTGTCCATTTCTCTCAGTGTTGCTTTCTACCCTGCTGTTTTCACTGTCAGAGATCATTTTCACCTGATGGTAAAGAAGCCACCCAGCAGCGTCAGACTTCTCTGCAGCCAAAACAAGGGGCACTGTGTCTTAACAGTTCGATGAAGTGGTAAGGCTAACATTCCTTCATTCGCGCATATGTCCACCCCTGAGCCAGTTACTAGGGCACAAGGAATGCTGTTTTCCCACCTTCCGAGGACACGTTTGACTGGGATAGGTGGTAGCAGGAGTGTTACCCAAAAGGAACTGAAAAGTATTATTATCAAGGGGTGAGTGAATGAATGCTGCACGGGCAAAATCAATAGACATGTTATCATGATAAGGAAAGCAAACTACAGCATAGAGGCAAACCTACTTGTCTTAAATTACAAAACATTACTATGATTGAGACTTCTTAATCTGAACATATTATTAGAAATCACAGTGACCTTTGAAAAATGTTTTGGACGTAGGCAAAAATGGAATTCATAAATACCTTATTTGACATCTTTTTCTTTAGTTTTTAAGAATTTTGTGATAGAATTGGGTTAGTAGAGTTAAGAGCTAATTTTTTTACTGAAGTAGAACTGAATTGAGTCATGAAGCTTTGCTGATGTTCAGGATAACTAGTTTCTTTTCTGCCCCACTGCAGTGCAGAGCCACATGTTACTTTCTTAGGAAATTGACTGCATGAATCCATGGATCGTAACCAAAGGAAGGAGCACATACAGAAAAAATCATCAGGTAGTATTGCTGGGGTATGAAAGTGGTTTTGTTAGAAAGGACAGTAGTTCATAGGGATGTTTACCACACTGCGACTTCAGTTATATGGGAAAAAATTCCTGCACTGCCCTAAACTTGGGGTTGGCAAACTATTTTTGGTAAAGTTTAGACTCCGGGCCAAAGGTAAAGTTGAGGCTTTTTTATAGTTGCGTAACGAGAAAGAAAAGTTCTGATTAATTTTGAATTGAGGAAATTTAAAACATATTAAAACTTGAGTACAAGTTTTCTAATACAACTCTACTGATAATAATTTAATTATTTTGAGGGGATAATATTTCACTTAATTGTTTTATGATGTGATTTTACATTATTTCATCTGTGGAATTATCTTCACCGATATAGATACTACCAAATACTGTAATTAGTCTTTTAGTGCATGATTTTAATTGAGCATACTTATAATTTGGAAGACATATAGAATTCCATTAGATACTTACCTTTTGACATTTCATACCATTGCAGATTAATCACTTTCTATTGAAGGATACTTAGATGCTTCTCAATTGTACAGTTAGATTTTGAAATATGGAAATTTCCTTTGCATTTGCATTGAGATCCAAAAATATGGCTGGAACTGTAATTGAGTTTGGAAAATGGAGCCAATGCATATTTGTGTGGGAAAATGAGATCTTGCTGGTTGTTTTGACGCCAGCATGGGAAGTTTATAAAGTAGTTTGGCATTACTTGTGATATAAACAGTATTACTTGTCATCAAAATGGCTTTGTTGCAGTATAAGTTTCACATACAAGTTTTGTTTTGCTTTACTTTTGAATTTATTAAGAACCATTATCAAATCTGCAGCAGAAATGCAATTCCCCTAGACCATCATTCTCAGGTGAACACTTTGTATATACCAGGTTACTGGTATATATTAAGTATAAGAAATAGATTTGAGGATTTGGAAGATGGCGACGGAGTAGGAGGGAGCAGATTCCACTCCCCCCTACACACAGGAGAAAAACCTGGCGGATCTATGAAGGAACAGAGCAAACAGCCAACAGTACCCCAGCATATATGAAAATAAGAGACCAGAAATTGCAGGGGACACTGAAAAACCAGCCCTCGGCCCTGGCGCTGGGTCTACTACAAACTCTTTGGGAGGGGCAGGCCTGCCACAGAGTCCTTGGGAGAGAGCCAGGTCAACTGTTTCCTCCCTCCCCAGCCACGCAGGGTTTGAGCAGCACCAGGAGAGACCTGGTTGCTTGAAGTTGCAGAGAGGAGAATAAGGACAAAGAGGCAAACACATGGGCCGTGATCACTGGAGGAGTCTGTGGTTGCCGGTTTAGGAGAGTTGCACACTGACACACGCTGACCCAGTAGTCCCTGGTCTGGCCAGAGAATTGGGCTGTACTGAGCAGCAGGCTTGAGTAGTAGGAATTTCTCAAAAAGTAAAACTGTTTGGGGGATTCTTCTGCGACAGCCACTTGGCTTACTCCCCACCCAGTCGGGCAGCAATCCCGAAGTTGTGCGGAAGGCCCTGCATTCCCCCATAGTACTGGGAAGGGTTCGAGCCCAAACATACAGGACGAAGGCAGCCTGGCCGAGCGTGCAGGCCCGCATCCCAGCCCACAGTGATAACCAATAACTGCAGAGCACTCTGAAGACGACCTGGGTCCCCTACCTAAGGCACTGGGGAGAGGCACCAGACTAGCTCTTGGGAGAGTGCTCGCAAGACTGGCTGAGTACACACTGGGAAGGGAGAAAACCACATCAATTACCCCTCAGCCTGCTGCAGCCAGCAAGACCAGAAAAACCGGTTTGGCTAGTTTGAAACCAATAAGAGGTGTCTTTTGTTTGTTTGTTTTAAGTAATCTTTTATTTTTTAATTTTTTTATTATTTTATCCTTCAATACCTTTTTTCTCTTTCTCCTTCTTTCTTTATTCCTTCTTCCTTTCTTTTCGATTATATCTCTTCTACCTCCCTTCTCCTGCCTTTTTTTTTTTGATACCCACAAGTGAGACAAAAAACTTGGAACTGTGAAAGAACCAGAGTTGGACCCAAAGAGGGAGCATCCCAACAGTTGAGACAGTGAGACAAATTTCACTTTGCTATTGAAGAGAACTACAGGCTACTGAATATTTGTATTATTATTTTTTCATTATTCATACATCTTTTATTTTAGTAGTATTTTTGTATTCCTCTTCTTTCTGTATAGTCTTCTTTGCTTGGCTGGTTATATTGTATCGTTTGACAGGTTTCCCCTGTTCTCTCCTCCACAGTGTATTGCTAATTTACTGTCCTTCACTTCACCTATGTTCCTTTAGCACACTACTTAAAGTCCTGTACCTTGTCTTTGTAATCCAGATCACATAGATTCTGTCATATGATTGTTGCTTTAATATTATTGTAAATAATAGCTGTTCCATACAATTGTAAATACTACACAATACCCCTCCCAGATCTCAGCCCACTTAGTTTCCTGAACTCTATTACTGTAGTGGTTAACTCTATTTGCTCAAACACTACATCTATTTACTATCCTTTACTCTCACCTTACCTCAGAATCTGACCTCCCACAACCTCATGGCTTTCTAGATCCAACTCACAATCCTTCCCTACCCAACAAGAGTCTTAACCTTCTTTCCATCCTTCCTTAAAAGTGGCTACTTGGGTTGAAGATCATGGTTAACACTATGCATAGCCAAAGGATCTCCTATCTCTTCTCTACCAGCTGCTACTGTAAATATCATAGAATACTCTTCTGCTGTCATAAACCATTTTGCCTTCCCCTCCAACTGATCACAAAGAAAGAGTAAGTGGAAGCAGTGAACACCAGGATACCCACTGGAAGATGAAACCTAATAGCAAAGAACCACCAACAGGTAACAACAGAAGAAGGTGAAGGAGGGAGTGGGAACCACGCAAACCTCAATCCAGGACCTATCTGGAAACACAACTAAATAGTGGAGAAACTACCCAGTACACACAGAAGGACTAGCTTCAACACAACCTGCCCTCACCAGCACAACAAATTAAAATGGGTGGTGGACAGAGGGACCATCTGTCAACCAGCTGGTGGGAAGGACCCACAAAAGACAGACCCTAAAACAACCCAAACCCAAAGACAAACTCAGAGCCAACATTAAGGACAGCCCAAGACCAGTGAGCAGGGGAGATCAAGGAGACTACACCACTGAATCGCACAGGTATTATACCACAGAAGTGCACACCAGAAACCCAGGGTGTCGAAATAGATTAAGAAGCTGAGGCTAACAAGAAGAGTCTCACAAAAAATGGGAAGACAAAGAAACAATCCCCAAATGAAAGGAAAGGAGGAAGCCTCAGAAAGAATGTTAGATGAAATAGAGGCAAATCAGCTACCAGATACTGAATTCAAAGCACTGGTTATCAGTGCTTAGAGAACTCTGATCACAAAGAGTAAGTAGAAGCAGTGAACACCAGGATACCCACTGGTGGTCCCAATAGCAAAGGAACCACCAACAGGTAACAACAGAAG